ATCTACACAAAAGCTGACAACAGAATCTACTTATCTTTTCCCAAGAAATCCTTAATCTGAGTGTAGGATACGTAACATAATCTGACCCGTTTTTGGCGTGTAAAACAAGAGCAACTCTCGATAATGTGGAGACATTAGACAAATATGATTTAAAACAAAGACGTTACTGATAGATATGACGAAGATGACAAATAAAACTTGCCGTATTCCAATCGACCAAATAAAAACTTGAACTTGACACAATCAATATTTGTTTGAAACCTTGACCGTTTTTAAACTCCGCCTATTTCAATGGAAAAAAGATCGCAAAATTTCATTACAAACTTAATCCAGCTGTCTTTTGAATGTTTATTTCATCGTTAAAAAGTAAACAAGACTAGGAATCAGAAAGGGCTAGAAAACGTGATCACAGACCAAAACTACACAAACTCAAGTAAATACTATGCGATCAAAAATGAGTTGCTACCGAGTCACCTTTGGAATTTTTGTTTACATAGGAAATCGTGCTCAAACTTGAACTGCCAAAGGCAACTAGACCGCCAACTCATTTTTGATCGTCCATTGTAAATAACCCCTTGAGTGATAAGTTACTTACAATTAAATCCAACAGCGTTGCATAAACCCGTTATTACTCTATCACCTAATTCCAACCTAACTCCAGTTGTTTGTACAGTTTAAGGCAGTCAATTGAAAATTACTTAAGCTAGAGAAAGCGAAAACTCGTATAATATCTTTGCAGATCTAAGTTCCATTTTATGAGAATTAGTGCAAATCGATATCAAATTATTCGGAAGCATGTCGATCAAGTTATTACTTCATTATCATTCAAACTGTGCTTGGAATAATGCATGAAGCTATGCTGTCTTTGTAAACATTGCCTACGATTTTGCATGCATACATACTAAATTAAATCTATGGACAATCCCGATTAGTTCTTCTTGTATCTCAGCTGAGTGGCATTTAAATTCGATAATAAAGACGTTCAGATATACACTTAAAGTGATGTACATTATTCTGCATTTACAAGTGTGTTGCCCTTGTTCATATTTACATAAAAATCCATACACATATGTCCGGCTTTCGTACTTTGAAGAAGTTCTTCGAAAAGAAGTAACTAAATTGAATTAATCGATTCAGCAACATACGAAACATTATTGAACAAGAATAGCACCCGTGGAAATGAAAGTGGTTCTTGAAAACATCAATTTATTTTTTGGGCGAAATCTTCCATACTGAAAGCAAAATATATTCAGTTGACGTATGCAGTATTAAAAGATTAAAACTAAACCGGCTTAAGTTTATTTTATTCTTTTTCGTTTGTGCTGTTTGATTGACATAATTTATTTTGGTTAATATTGGAGAAACATACGGTTTAATATTAGATTTAAGGTGTTTATAATTGCTTTTAAATTTTCTCACGTCTGTTTACGAACCTAGTAAATTTATAATCCTCTGTAATTTGGGCAATCCGAGTGTGTGATTTAAAAATTATTTGTGAATATAAATGCAATTATATTTTGTTTGCAAATCTAGTTTTTGTGGCCTTTTGATGGCCATTTTCAGTGACGAATAGTGGAGTCGACAGCAATAAATAAAAAAACCTACACAACTTGTATCATATTTATCGTTCTATGTAATGTTTTATATCATGTAGATGGTAGATTTTTCTGGTAAATTTCATTTAATATTGCGTCCTTAGATATTAGATCGTAGTACAATATGCTGCAACGGTTGTGTAGGGTTTTTGTCAAGTATAATTTTGGTTAACTTTATCTTCGTTAGCTTTCTGAATTTGCACGATTCAAGATCTTTCTGGTGAAGACCAAGATGGCGATTAATTTGCTTGGAACATAATTTGCATGTGAGGTAAAGTTGTTGCGAGATGGGAATTGTTTGAAAATCGAGACATCCGTTTGGTTTGACTCACAGAAAACAGATTGGGGAATGTCTTAATGCCGTTTGCCGGATTGGAACAATTTTTTTTCATAGATTTATGTTGATTTTGGGCCACGCGGTAATTTTTTTGGTTACGGAAACTCGTAACAAAGTTGAGCGAAAATCGACAACTGTTAACGAAAGATCGCGACAGTCAAGGTGTTCTTGTAAATCGTACCATCATCGGAGTCTTGTCGAAGAGTGCCTTTATGGCGAAGGACCTGATAGGCAGTTCAGGGTCATATTTTGTTTGTTTCTGTAATTTGCCGGCGAGATTTGGAAACGTAAAATTGTTATTAGTAGAGAACCTTGCGGGTTCTAGTTCATGTCGAATTTGAGGCTCAACCCCGTTGTTAATAATTACTTGAAACCATCGTCTACGTAAAGTTTAATGATCCAGTCTCCACTGAAATCTCGATAAACAAGAAACGTAAAAATCGGATGTGATGTTCACACGAGTTTCGTCCGATCGTGAATCGTGATTGATAACAACACGTCTAGACATGTTCACATGGCGCATGACGTAAATTCAGATCGTCATTCAACAGAATCAAGGGGTAGATGATATTTTTAGAACAATTAAAGGAGATGGATGCTAATGTCCTTGTGATTTTGTATTGATATCAGATAGGAAAACCAAAAAATATTTGGTTCAACCACTTGTGAGACAGTTACGACAGAATTACCTCCCTCCCCCCCTTCGACCCCCATTACACGTCAACAGAATCGCGTGTCTTAAAAAAGATTATTCGTCCACCACAGCTTTAGTAGTGTAACAGCTTCTATGCGCAAGTTCACGCGAACGAATAAATAAATTGTCTTTTATAAAACAAACGAGACAGATTTTGTTTTAAGTAAGTCCCAAGCCTAATGTGTAACATTCGTAAAAAATGTATACAGGGTGCTCAGGAATTCATAGTTTCTTTTGCTATACATTTTTTCATTCTCTTCTACATTGGATTCTCCACTGAAGACTAAAAAGAGGGTGTAGGTAATTACATCCCTATATCTAGGATGACCAAGACAAACAAGCAAAAAAGTAATCTTAAAAAATTTAAAAAAAAAGCCAAAATCCACTTGCATTCATATTCCATTTGTACCAAATCTTTTAAAATTCGTAAAAATCCGGCCACGAATAATAAAGTTAGAGTTGCACATGTGCAATCCATTTTTGGCGTGCTAGTTCAATTTCATTTTATAAGAAGTATATCCTACCTTAACATTTCGGTAGGATTGGTTCACAAATACCTAATGTGGGTCTGGGCATGCGCAATAATTGTTTTGTGTGTTTTTAGTCTGCGTATTTAAATTTATTTTTTTATTTGCATTTAATTCATTCCTTTCTTCTTTTAAAATTTCAGAAAAATGCGTCCACAAATAAGAAAATTAGCACTACACATGCACAACCTATTCTTTGACACGCCAATTCTATTTGACTATAAGAATAAGAAGCATCTTATCCTTAGCGTACAGAATTTATAAGCACAATAAGGAGTGTAAAATTACGGTACATGACAAAAAAAATTTTTTACTGTACCTTTTTTAGTAATAAATACAAGTCTCGACACCATAACGAACCAAAGAATGAAAAAAAAAACAATAGCTTTTAAGGTAAAGATCTGGTAGCGACACAGTCGTAGGGACTGACAGACGAACGGGCAAACGGACGGACAAAGTGGCCACAATACCGCCTTTTTTATTTTTGTGGAAATGTGGTAAAAATGACATTCGACTTGGTAAACTATTAACAATGCTCACAGAACCCACACACAGTGGGCGATTTAGTAAATTTCGGAAATTTAATTCATTACACACAGAGTACATAAGCTTGTATATGACAAAAACAGGTATATAGTCTATATATGTAGTTCAATTGCGTAGGGCCAGACGGACAAAAATACAAGAACTACGCTCTTACTTCACAGTTTGGTCTATAAATATTTAACGTGGTCCAGTTAAGTTTTAATAACAAAGATTACTTCAATTTGATAGCAATCTCCGAAAAATGTTAAAAGTAGCATGAGTAAACTTTCATGTACCATTATTCCGCACTTTCGAAAATATTGATAACTTTTTGGCCATAATTAAACAGTGAAATATCAATGAATCGGCTTGTACTACACCAATCTATTTCTAGCATCAGACAAGCGCAATAATTTACGTTGAACGCTAACTTCCAATACATACCAAAGGCCTCGTGTCGTGGATCCTTCGAGAAAAAATACCATAATTCTGTCTAGGGTGCGTTCAACCTAGGACACAGGGTATACGTCGAGGTATACCTCTTGACATTGTTTGATATTTTAATAAATAAATAAGCGGTTCCATCTTTTGGCATATTTTTTAGAATTGAATTGAAATGTGCTATTGTTTGCGTGTTGTTTGTTTCTCTGTCAGTTCGTTCTTCCGTGACCAAGCCGCTTTGAAGATTCTGGCCAGATTCAGAACGCCGAGTGACAGGAAAAATTACGCCCGGTTTGAATTTTAGGCAGTAGACAAAAAAGCTTAGGGAAAATGAAGGTATAAATAACAGTATGTGAAAAGAACAAGCCATCTCACCAACTGAAGCAAAGTTAAGAATATTGGTTTATCAAACCAAGCAACACCAATAGAAACGGATATGGTACAAAATAACGTTGCATCGCACAACAATCCACACTGGAATGCTTTTTAAACCGGTAAGAGGTACAAACGTGGGACATCCGAAACGAAGTTTTAAGCAATAATGATGCCGATAAAGCAAAATATGCGCTACAGTCGAAGTTGATGGCAGACCCAATCGCGAAGAAGCGGAAAAGTAGCATGTTCACACAAAGAAAGAAATGGCAGATCTAGAAATATGTGCACCTACTTGACCGAGTTCTGTTACATTTTTAACTACAGAACTTGAAATTTTTTACACTATAAATTTATGCTAAAATTGATTTATAAAACAACAAGAAATACTGATTAATTTGTTTATACTCTCAAACAGTGCGTGTTACCCCGCATATTTTGTAAAATACAACCTTCACAACGATTTTGCGTTTGTTTATACTTTCAAGGCAGTCGTAGAAAAAAAGGTATTCGTAACCACGTTGCTTATTTATTCTTCTTTTTCCTTGATAGTGTAATTTTTTCTAGACGACCTCCTGGTTTTATAAGTGACATAACAAATTAAAATAGGTGCCGTAACTAAGACAGCAAAAAAAGCCACTACGTCCAAAAGAAAATGTTGGTACCATCTTAAATTTAATGCTGCAGTTTTCAGGTGATGGGCGCCATTATGTCTTAAAACGTACTCAATCCAAAAAATTGCCTTCTCCAGTGGGTTTTGGGGATTATCTCTTAATATATTGGACCTACTGCGTGCATTGTCCAAGTATCTAAAATAATATGCATGAATATGGAATATGGATTGCTAATATTCTATACGTACTTTGGATCTTGTAGAACTGCATTGATTGCTTTTGGCAGTTGGTCACCAGTCAAATCCGAGAGTCCTACAGTAATGCCGTGGTTATTTTCCTCAACAATGCGCATATTTAAATATTGGTCGCCGTAGATCGGAATACCCACAACGGGAACTCCATGATATATCGCTTCAAGAGTACTTAATAATCCACCATGTGTTATAAACAATTTGATGTTTGGATGAGCTAAATATCTACGTCAATCATATTGCCTATGCACTATTAAACTACCTTACCCAGTACGTCGTTTTGTGGTACCCACTTTATTATCTTAACGTTTGGCGGCTGACCGGGCAGAGACTCGTTTTCCCATTTCCATAGCACTTTTACATTTAACGCTGCGAAAGTCTTCAGAATAGCTTCTCTGCGATTATCGCTTAAATCTTGACTGCGAAGATAGGAACCCATACTGAAAAAAGCCACACCCTCTTTGGCATTGTCTAGGTATTCCTGCAGGTCCGGCGGAAGAGCTTTGACTGGTTTAATGTGGTAACCTCCGATATCAATCATGTTGGGTAAAACGGGAATGGGTGTACTTGTACTAATATGGGAGTTAAATAGCGTTAAAGAAACATTATAAAAAACATCTGTAAGATGAGGAACGGCGGGAAAATATTTGTGCATAAGTTCATTTTGGGCGGGAAGTATCTGAAAGTGAAATACAAGTGTACTGATCACATGTACTATCCCGTTGTATAATCTTTCAAAGAAATTCATTTTACTTGAAAAACGGGTATGCATTTCTGGTAGATATGACGGTGGTATAAAGATTCCCATTTGCGTGTTTGCAGTTAGGGAAGGGGGTATGGGTGAAGAAATAATGCAATGGGCCTCGAAGTGAAAGCAAAAACCATGAAATGCTTCATTGATTAGCCGCTCGAGGATTACGAGATCAAACTTCTCCTTTGATTTGATTAATTTCTGAACGTTCGTGTGATTGAGGGTATTCTCGATAAGTGGAGTTATACTTTTGGCAACTTGAAATATGCTTGTAATGGCGCTCTCATCCGCTAATGTAAATGCGTCAAGCTTACTTTCTAAAATTGGATCACACAATATCATTATAGCTTTTGCGATCGTCACCTTTCAAAACATCCATGGCGTTGTCTACGTAAATTGTTCGAATGTTTTTGATCTTCTGTTTTTCTTCCATTGGGGTTATTACTGTAACGTCATGACCCCTGGACGCCAGTTCTTTTAATAGTACCTCGCCTAGTTGATAATGACTGTATGAAGGGAGATGAAAAATACCCAGAATTTTTGCGGCATTTGTTACACAAGTTATTTCACAGACAATGTATAATACTCTAAAAATGAGCATTTTGGTGAGATTTTAAAGCCTAACTATGTAATCCAAACACATCACGGCATATTGTGGCACCTAATCACAAAGATAACTTATATCAATACGCAGTTAGAATAATGATAAATATTTGAATGATTGGTCTATAGAGTAAATAAACTTTACGTAAGTTGGCCCAATTTATAGTGCTTCTTTTCATCAATGAGTTTTAAAGGTCGATTTATAAACTTTGTCGACTGGCAGTTCGTAGTTCACCGAAGATATTGACCAATGGAAAAAGAGTACCCATTGGGGCACAAATTTGTGTCAAAGTCAAACTGTCAAAGTTGCTCGCTTTGGCGTGTGAAGTGTATTAATATAATATCCTTAGAAGTCTTTATATATGCGCTCATTCATCATAAATCTTTCACAGAAATAATTCTTGTCCCTTTCATGAACAAACTATAAACTAAAAATACCTTAACCGAGGTAAACTCTGCAACGCTGACGCGAACGTAAAGTTTATAAATCGGTCTTTAAGGAAAAGTTTCTAGAAAATCCTTCGTATTTAAAATGGTTCCTTTCTATGATATTATTGCCTAATTGACGTATTAAGTGTTAAATGTCAAAATGCACATGATGTTGTAGATTATTTACATTATGCATTGTTCGTAGGCATACAAGACAGAGGTACAGTAGAAACTCAGCTTTCGGGTACATTTTATTTAGGTAATGCCGAGAGCTGTAAATGTAACCCTCAAACAGATCTCTTGAGATGCGCCGCATTTGCGAGGCTACACTATGGGATTTACTAAGCTCTTTCCACTACATTATATAACAAGTTTTGAGAGGCACAGCTTTCCACGTGTATGGGAGCGTGCCATAAACGTCATGCGAGTCTGATGTAGCTTTTCAAACGTGCTGCACACTGTACTTTTTCTACGATTGGAAGTTATTCGTATGTTAATTGAACTCAATAAGAAAACGATATCTTTTTTTCATTAGGAATTATTAGTTCTCAAAATTAAAAATGGTAAGCCGCTTATATTAGGGTGTACGTGCTAAAGACTAAACGTTTTAGTAAAGAACCTAGAACCGGGGGTCTGGAATACCCCCCAAGATGGAAAAATGCAATGCTCATTTCTCTAGAATTATCAGATCTTCGTTTACTGGGGGGTATTCCATACCCCCTGGTAATAGTTCACCCTCAAAACGTACACCCCTTAAGGTTTTTCTAATATTAGGGTGTAAGTGCTAAAGGCTCTAAACGTTTTGGTAAAGAACCTAGAACCGGGGGGTCTAGAATACCCCCCCCCCCTCCCAAGATGGAAAAATTGCAATGTTCATTTCTCTAGGATTATCATATCTTCGTTTACGGGGGGGGGGGGTATTCCATACCACACGGCCCCCCCGGTGATACGTTCACCCTCAAAACGTTTACCCCTTAAGATTTTTCTAATATTAGGGTGTAAGTGCCAAAGGCTCTAAACGTTTTGGTAAAGAACCTAGAACCGGGGGGTTTGGAGTACCCCCCAAGATTGAAAAATCATCCAATGTTCATTTCTCTAGAATTATCAGATCTTCGTTTCGCTAATGCGCTAATTAAAACAGAAAAAAAAGACGAGGGAAGGTCTAAATTCAATTGTAAATTTACAAAAATGATGAAAGAGAAAAATAATAAATATGCTGGAAGTGTTTGGCATAGGGATTGTATTCCTCTAATTATAATAACAAAAAAGATGCAATAGATTTTTAATTTAAGCATCACATTAGCATTTTGTAGACGTTTAATTATTCACCACGCTAGGGAAAGTTTGCGAAAGCAAAAGAAACGAAAAATCGGAGGACAGAACAACATGATTGGTATCAACTAAATATGCCTAAATTAATCAATTTATGCCACCAGGGAACAGATTTGATTTTAATATTTTAATTTCGTTTAACTATGTTTTGAACGTAATACACATAAATGCCACATTTGCCTTGAGTCATTTTATATTGAAGGTAACAGCTGTATTCGACAATTCCGTGAGGCCTGTGCACAATTTAAAGCGAAATATCCGCAATTTTTGGACCGAAAAAATTCAATTCGTAAATCCACAAATGAAATGTAAGGAACATGGTATTGTCTAAAAGAACGAAGGGTTGCAAAAATAATGCCTTCGTGTATATTATGTGCTTCTATCCGCGAGTGTAATGCGAATTTTTCGGTTGTTTGCTTCGGATCCGATTATTGTAACTGCATGTGTTTTTCACCTTATTTAAGTTCTGAGAAACCGAATTAAAATGGAATATCTGCAAAAATGGAAAGTTGTGCATATTGTATGACATGTACGCAGAAAGCCTATACCTAGATACGCGCAAAAGTTTTTCAACATGCAAACCAATACTACGCAGTCTACGCACCACCTGGCACAATTTAGAGTTCAGCAATGCTTTTTAAAAATTCCGGCATTATGCATACTGAGATCCATTTTATGGAGGTTGCGGGATTTCTTTCCACGTTCATATCACATCCATTTTATGCTATAGTGTGAACACGGTGTATTAATTCTTTTTAGGGTGGCGAACACGCGAATTGACGCTTTTTTCTCGGCTTTTTTAAATCTTTGTCCCATGTGCGATATTGTCTATACTGTATATTGATGTGTTTTGTAGGATTATACTAATATTGCAGTATTTTAAAATCAAATTTATCAAAGCCGCGGCTATTGTTCTAAAATTCAGTTTTCAGGCTACATTAACCTTTGGCATGGATTTAGAGCTGTCCGTAATTTTGAGTTCTGTTGGACGTTATTAGCAACGGTTTGTATATTTTAATCAAGTAGTCTGTGATGAATTAACAAAAAACAAAACAAAATTTATTCCAGGCAAAAAACAATGAAAATAATTAAAAGCTAACTTTTTACAAATAAATTTGCGAAAATGCAACAATGGAATAATCTTTAATTTTGTATTGTTTGTATTTGGCTCTTTTGGATGACGAGTTTGCCGACCACTGCGTCCTACAGAATAAAATTGTGCCGAGCTAAACCGAGTCGGAACTTGCCGAAATCGAATGGAACTGTTTTCTACAATCATCTCCGCGATCCTTTTTATGATCAGCGGGTGGCGGGGGGAGGGGGGGTATCTTTCGAGGTATTCTAGGTTCAACAAAAGGAACTGTTTTCTACCTGCCTCCCTTCTCACTTACCACTTATCAAAACCGAAGGGGAGGGGGTGCATGGATTGACTTTATAATTTATGGTACTCTCAAAGGGCGGCTGGAGCGACAAGACACACAACGTCCTAGTTGTTTACACAGCAATATATAGCCCACAGAGCGACCCGACTCGACTGTCAGAAACATTAACGCCCATTGACGGAGAGTCAAAGTGCCTTTAAACCTTCAACACGTACTACACATAGTCGATCCACAATTGCAGAACTATGATGGTTGCAAATAGAACTATATTCTGGTAATTTCGCAACTTTAAATTAACAAGCACGTTTAGTATGTCTATAAATAGTTACTAACGGCGAGAAAAAGTATATCCTAAGCCAAATTGTTATGCGTGTTTAGAGACGTTCAATTAAGGGCTTTTTGTTATGCTACACCAACGAATAATTACCATATCGAAATAAGAAGGCAATTCAATTTCTTGTATACGAATCGTGTTAATAGAACATGCCTCACTTTAAAAAATTCGAAAGAACACTGTTAAATACAATCTTTGGGATAAATTTTATGAAAATATAGGACATTTGACATTGTATAATACGTGAAAGTTATCTAGTACATCTATCACTATGTTAACTATGTACCTACTTAATTATCAAATCACTGTATAAACGAATTTTGTCTATATTGAGTTATGTATAGGTCGCTGGTTGATCTCATTATATGCGAATGTTCACCATAAGGTTGTTGTCCACAATATATTAGCCCATGTTTGCCTATTGTCAGTTTCAAATTGATACGCACCAAAAATATGTATTCAAGCAATCTACTGCAAATGTAATGTATATGAAAATAGAGTACTTCGTGTACCGATCGGTTCTTCAAGTAGAATTACATAATTATTCATAATTGTCTCATTTTCGCTTTGGTCGGTAAACAGAAGGAGAGAACTAATGGAACCGGGCTTATTGAATACAAATCCACCAAAACGAATTCACAATCGTTTTCCGTGTAGGTAATTCTTTCTGCCTAAATTTTTCCCATTTATTATAAAATTGTGATTATACAATGCGCTTAAACGCTTTGTTTGTCAGTAACAAATAATCCGTACTCACATTTTCATGTTTTTAGTGTAGCTCACAGCCCACAGGTGCATACATTCACATCATTACACAAATTGTGTTGAGTAATTTTTCCGGTCTCTGTTCTAGAGGTGCAGAATACAAATTGGTCATATATCATCAATACTGAAAACTAATTAATTGGAATTAATAATGGATATATCGCTTGATTGTACACATTTCCAAAACTACTTTGTAGATAGCATTAATTAATGCACAAAGTTATTGATCGATATAAATTGAATTACATTCACCTAATATACAACGTGGGACAGATGCAGCAACTGCAAAAATATTTAGTTCATGGGTTTTTCATTTTCTTATTATTATATAAAGTGTGTACTTGTTAGCTGCTCTACTCAATAAATTCGATTTGAACAATGCTCCAATCTGATTAAGTTAGTACAGAATTACCTACGAGTGCATCTAAGCTCTAAGGTGTTGTCGATGAAAGAAAATTACAAAATGTATCAAAACGTAACTTCAAAAATAGATTGCCTTATATCATTGCGATGTAATTTATTTGCGATTGCATTTATAAGACTCTTGGTAACGGTTTAATTGGGCTTGCGGTAACTATCAAATTTTACCCAAAATTGGTCTTGAAACCTTCATTTTCATGCCTACCGTGTGCAGGAAATTTTAGTTTTGATAACAGAGACAGACCGGACTACTCTTCCTGCCGCTTGTCACTATATCGGCCGCACATGTCATTTTTCCGGCTACCTGTCGCATTGCTAAATGTCTATTTAATCTTCATTTAACAATTGTGTCACCTGACAAGGAAGATGTGTTTATAATTTCCGTTTGATGTGAAGA